GTGAGGAACCATGTGTGCCTTCAGCTCGGGCTGCTCACTACCGAGAGCACTCAAGGTTGTCCTTATATGGAGTTAAAGACAACGTCTGGCCTGATTGGCTCTTTGACATCGAAAATAGATCATGTGGATTTGCAGCGGCGAATCACCTGAGAGCACCTGCTAAGACATGTAAATCAAAGAGGACAACACAATGAGAAAGCATTGTTCTAGTTGTGTAATCCCAGTCATTTACCTACACTGACCAGCTCGGATAGATGACAAGACAAAAACAAGGAAAGATTGGGGATGCCTATGAATGTAAGCAAAAGTACAATAAAAGCATTTCATGATTACTAAATAAAACATAAGTTTAGCCCATATTCATGACATGGGTGCAACGGCTGTTGCGGTTTTAGCAACTTTCAGACTTACTGAGTTTGGCATCCTATTTACATCTGTTTTTTTTCTTTTCTTTATTATGTTAAACCTAAGTTAACTTTCATCAAGAATTATGGTTGAAAAAAAAAATCAGAAAGGCTGTTTGCTATTCCATGACTCATCGTTTCTTAAAGGGATAGTTCACCCAGAAATTAAAATTCGTTTCTTTTCTTTATTATGTTAAACCTAAGTTAACTTTCATCAAGAATTATGGTTGAAAAAAAAAAATCAGAAAGGCTGTTTGCTATTCCATGACTCATCGTTTCTTAAAGGGATAGTTCACCCAGAAATTAAAATTCAGTCATCATTTACTCACCCTCGTGTCTTTCCAAACTCGTATGAGTGTGGTCTATGCTACTTGCAGCGCGTTTTTGTGTTTGGTTGTGTTGCGAGTATTTGCAGTACATGTGCTGTCAAACTGATGAAGATGCTTTCTTAATTTGCTGGTGCTTTTTGTATATGCATGTGTTTCCTTAAAGGGATAGTTCACCCAAAAATGAAAATTCTGTCATCATTTACTCACCCTCATGTCGTACCTGTATGAGTTGCTTTCTTATGTTGAACACAAAAGAAGATATTTTGAAGATTGCTGGTAATCAAACAGTCGGTGGTTGCCATTGACTTCCATAGCAGGAAAAAAAAATACTATGGAAGTCAATGGCAACCACCGACTGTTTGATTACCAGCAATCTTCAGAATATCTTCTTTTGTGTTCAACATAAGAAAGCAACTCATACGGGTTTGGAACGACATGAGGATTAGTAAATGATGACAGCATTTAGATTTTTGGGTGAACTATCCCTTTAAGTGTTATTCAATATGGTCCTGTTCAGAGAGACAGCGCTGCTCCCTACTGGACAGACAATCAAAATGCATAAAAACATTTACATTGAATGCATTTTTGCAAATCCAGAGACTTGCACAGATGTTGTAGAATCACATGCGACGATCAGCAGATGTGCTAGAAATTGAGTGCTACTACGATGTAAACACTACATAATATACTACAGAAGAGCATGCACACAAATAGTAATATGAAGTGCTCCATGTTTAATTACGTTTTTTAAACACCCACCCCTCTTATCTGTTATTGGTCAGTCAAACATGTATCCCCACCCCAAACTCACACAATTGGTTGAATTAGCTCAAGCCAGACATGTCCACAAGTCTTTCATCTGATGTCTGAGTCAAGTCTTTAAGCCGGAGTTGGAGTCAAGTCTAGTCTTTAAGCCGGAGTCTGAGTCAAGTCTAGTCTTTAAGCCAGAGTCTGGGTCATGACTCGATTCATTCAGGAGCGGAACGCTGCTGTGTTGCTTTAGACCCACAACAGTTCTGCAGTGGCTTTGTTTCAACTATTGTCATTTTGCAGAACTGAGCAAAACACACAATACAATATTGTGTAAATTTCACAACTTAGTGTTCAGTGTTGGGGAAAGTTACTTTTAAAAGTAATGCATTACAATATTGCGTTACTCCATAAATAAAGTAACTAATTACGTTACTTAGTTACTTTTTATGGAAAGTAATGCGTTACGTTACTTTTGCGTTACTTTTTAAATCTGGACAGGGCTTGCTTGTTTGTTTTTAAAATAAAAAAAGTTATATTTTTGGCAAATATAAAAGCTTTTCACACCAAAAGTGAGGGGGGGGGGCAGCACCCTTGCTTGTGTGATATTGCTAAACTATATAAAATATATACAAAACAAAACACTATATAAAAAATAAACCTATACATGTTATTTTTTTCCATAATTAATCGCATCAATTAAACCTTAAAATAGTCTAGGGTGACCATATATCCTCTTTTCCCTGGACATGTCCTCTTTTTGGACTTAAAAAAATGTTTCCGCCGGGATTTCTAAAATCGCCCAAAATGTCCGGGATTCGACTTTTGCTTTCGCCATTCATTGTGTGCATTTTTGTATTAAAGCCCTGCGCGTGACTGTTTTCTTATCCCGCTTACAATTTCTGCCTGCTCACACAAACTAATATTGCATATAATTTTCGCGCATCAGGGAGCCGTACTCAATATGCAGAGTATTTAAATCACTTTGGATGCAGCTTGTGTAGGATGCAGGGTTGCCAAATCCACATTTTTCCCACGAAATTGGGCTGATTTTGAACTATTGCGGCGTGTTGATTTTCTCCCGTGGGTTATAAAGGTTTGAAATATGGCATAAATTACATTTGACTGAAATGCTTGTATTGAAACATTTTGCATTCTACCTATGATACAACTGTGGTAGATGCTAAGTTTTGTGAAGGATGGCCAGTGGTAGGAAGCCTTTTAGTTGCGTTTATGATCAATCTGCAAAATATGTATTTTAGGTTGATATGGGATATGGTCATTGCACTACTTTGGGGGCTACTTTAACCTCGGATCAAACCCAAATCCAACCGAAAAGAAATACAATGCAGCAAGCAATCAAGGCACTTTTAATGGCGGAAACCATCACCTGAGTCTAGTCTTTAAGCCGGAGTCTGAGTCAAGTCTAGTCTTTAAGCCGGAGTCTGAGTCAAGTCTAGTCTTTAAGCCGGAGTCTGAGTCAAGTCTAGTCTTTAAGCCGGAGTCTGAGTCAAGTCTAGTCTTTAAGCCGGAGTCTGAGTCAAGTCTAGTCTTTAAGCCGGAGTCTGAGTCAAGTCTAGTCTTTAAGCCGGAGTCTGAGTCAAGTCTAGTCTTTAAGCCGGAGTCTGAGTCAAGTCTAGTCTTTAAGCCGGAGTCTGAGTCAAGTCTAGTCTTTAAGCCGGAGTCTGAGTCAAGTCTAGTCTTTAAGCCGGAGTCTGAGTCAAGTCTAGTCTTTAAGCCGGAGTCTGAGTCAAGTCTAGTCTTTAAGCCGGAGTCTGAGTCAAGTCTAGTCTTTAAGCCGGAGTCTGAGTCAAGTCTAGTCTTTAAGCCGGAGTCTGAGTCAAGTCTAGTCTTTAAGCCGGAGTCTGAGTCAAGTCTAGTCTTTAAGCCGGAGTCTGAGTCAAGTCTAGTCTTTAAGCCAGAGTCTGGGTCATGACTCGATTCATTCAGGAGCGGAACGCTGCTGTGTTGCTTTAGACCCACAACAGTTCTGCAGTGGCTTTGTTTCAACTATTGTCATTTTGCAGAACTGAGCAAAACACACAATACAATATTGTGTAAATTTCACAACTTAGTGTTCAGTGTTGGGGAAAGTTACTTTTAAAAGTAATGCATTACAATATTGCGTTACTCCATAAATAAAGTAACTAATTACGTTACTTAGTTACTTTTTATGGAAAGTAATGCGTTACGTTACTTTTGCGTTACTTTTTAAATCTGGACAGGGCTTGCTTGTTTGTTTTTAAAATAAAAAAAGTTATATTTTTGGCAAATATAAAAGCTTTTCACACCAAAAGTGAGGGGGGGGGACAGCACCCTTGCTTGTGTGATATTGCTAAACTATATAAAATATATACAAAACAAAACACTATATAAAAAATAAACCTATACATGTTATTTTTTTCCATAATTAATCGCATCAATTAAACCTTAAAATAGTCTAGGGTGACCATATATCCTCTTTTCCCTGGACATGTCCTCTTTTTGGACTTAAAAAAATGTTTCCGCCGGGATTTCTAAAATCGCCCAAAATGTCCGGGATTCGACTTTTGCTTTCGCCATTCATTGTGTGCATTTTTGTATTAAAGTCCTGCGCGTGACTGTTTTCTTATCCCGCTTACAATTTCTGCCTGCTCACACAAACTAATATTGCATATAATTTCCGCGCATCAGGGAGCCGTACTCAATATGCAGAGTATTTAAATCACTTTGGATGCAGCTTGTGTAGGATGCAGGGTTGCCAAATCCACATTTTTCCCACGAAATTGGGCTGATTTTGAACTATTGCGGCGTGTTGATTTTCTCCCGTGGGTTATAAAGGTTTGAAATATGGCATAAATTGCATTTGACTGAAATGCTTGTATTGAAACATTTTACATTCTACCTATGATACAACTGTGGTAGATGCTAAGTTTTGTGAAGGATGGCCAGTGGTAGGAAGCCGTTTATGATCAATCTGCAAAATATGTATTTTAGGTTGATATGGGATATGGTCATTGCACTACTTTGGGGGCTACTTTAACCTCGGATCAAACCCAAATCCAACCGAAAAGAAATGCAATGCAGCAAGCAATCAAGGCACTTTTAATGGCGGAAACCATCACCTGAGGCAAGACAACAACAAACACCCCACATTTAGGACACTTCCATTCACCCTGAGCTTTCCTTCCAGCTCCTGCTGAACCTCATACTCATGCCTCAGAAGCTACACTGACTTTGATTTGACTCTGGACACTTGATACGCACATTCATGAGGTAGAATTGAAAACACCTTGCTTGCTTTTGCAAGCAAATCTCTGCATTTAAACCGAACATTTAAAACTACATCTGATGAGCTACAAAACAATTCGCAAGTGATGCCATAAAGTGTATCCGCTTCAGTTTATCCTCTGTCTTCACACGTAACCCACACCTTTCCTTACACTAGACCACTCAGAGAGAGAAATCGAATGAACTTAAACTTTCATTAAAACCTTTAAAATGTAATCTGTAATATATAAAAGAAAAAAGGCACATACAGGCTCAAGGAGAACTTTACCAAATCAATCTCTCATTTTAAACATTAAGGCACTTTGCGCATTAATATTTGCCATGGTTCCTCCGAGGGTCTTCGTTTAACCAAACAGGAAGCTGCACAAAAATAAAAGGCAATGTCAGTAAATAAATTAACTTAAAAAAAAAAAAAAAAAAGTAATAATTTGTATGAATAAATCCTTAAATTAACATTCATAAATGTGCAAACACACACGATATTTTCTATCCCCTAACCCAACCCTAAACCTACCCCTTACAGAAAACCTGTTTGCATTCTTACACTTTAAGATAAACATCATTTACTATTTTTTTTTATAACTTTTTCCCCTCGTGGGGACCTCAGGCCAGTCCCCACAATGTCAAAAAATTTCAGGTTTTACTATCCTTGTGGGGACCATATGTATTAATCATTAATAATGTAGCATAAACAAGTACACACACACAGACAGACAGACACACACAACACACAAAAGTTTAGGATTGTTAAGAGTTGTAATGTTTTCTTTAAAAACGTTTCTTATGCTCATCCAGGCTGCATTTATTTGATCAAAAACACAGAAAAAAAAACAGTAATATTGTGAAATATTACTGCAATTTAAATTATTGGTTTTCAATTTTAATATACTTTAAAATAGAATTGATTTCAGTGATGAAAAGCTAAATTTTCATCAGCATCACGACGTCAGTCTTCAGTGTCACACGATCCTTCGGAAATCATCCTAATAAGCTTAAAAAGCAAATACCAAGAGACTCTCAAATTCATTTTACTCTAATTATATAATCTGTAACTTGCATAATGCATTACAGAAGTATTTTCATTAGGGCTCTCTGACCTTTGCACTGATATTTCCGGCCATTTATTAGACAGCTGTCTAATGCTCTCACCTGTAAGGATATCCGTGATATTTGGCCCTAAAGATGGAGAGCAGCCAACTGAAGAACAGCAACACCAGCCCGATTCCTGCTACACACATGACTGCAGAGAAACAAGACTACAATCAAACCTGTTCTGATCTATCAAGTGTTCATAAAGAGCACAGGCTGATGACAGCATACTTTTCCTCTTCCCCATGTCCAGGTCAGAGGTCGCAGCCTCGTGAAGCAGCACCATTCCTAAAGTCACCGCAGCATCTGAAGCAGAGCTCAGGAACACGATCACGACTGACATGAAACTAGACATAAAACCACAGCCAATCCATGGGTCCATATACAGTAGTGAACAGGTACTTTTTTGTTGTTTTAAGAGAAACGAATACTTTTATTCAGCATGTAACTGCAATCATGCAGTGTAACTGATCTGAGTGCAGCGAAGGATACTGAAGAGAAGAACAATGTGAGTCTCTGCCACAAACTGAGCCTGACTGCTGCCGTGGATGTAACTCTGAAATGAGAAACGTATGTTACTGTGGGCTGAACAAATGAAAACCTAAAGGAATCATGTGCAGCGAGGCAATGCAGTGGCATTATTCAATCATAACAGTGGCCGTTTATTGACAAGCCTTAAAGGAGACAAAACAGCAAAACCGAGCGTTTTTCTGATAGAGAGTCTGAATGAGTGGAAAATGTGCAGATGTTTGACAGCAAAAAACATTAACATTACACGTTAAACTCAAGGAACGTGAACAGAATGAAAAAGGCATGCCATAGCCCGTTTAAAGACCTCAAGAAACTGAAGAGTTTTGTGGCTTTTAGGATTATGGATGCTAGTGTTATGCAAGTTCACAAAATAAACTTTCATTAAAAAAAGACACATTTAAGATTTACAGCCTTTCTTTTCCAGGAAAACTGGACCAAAAATACTGAGGACTCAATTTTTGTCCAATCAAATGCTCTCTAGAAGGATTAAAGAAAAGTGACAAACAATTCTCAATATGAAATACATCAGCACTAGGGCTGTGCAAGTAATCGAATGTCTCGTCAGTAAAGCCGGTTCTGTGATTAGTAGTAAATCTCCATCACCTGCTTTCAGATGGAGCGGCATTTACTACACAGAGCCATAGCTCACTGACAAGCTATGCAATATCGCAAAAAAAAGTTGCCTGGCAAAATGGCTCAAAATGTTGGCCCGTGTACCATCAGCCTTTGGGTCTAACTCACCACTTGGCCAGTGTTTGGGTTCTTGTGAGCGTATGGAGGTCCTCTGATGTGGTTCCACATTTGACCCGAAGTCATGATCAAAACAAAACACTAGATCGAGAGAGACAGAGAGAGAAAGGTGTTCATGTTAACTAGGTCTTTTCTGAAGAAACTAAAAATTCTCTATGTTAGTAGGGTGTTGTCACGCAGTTTCTAAGGTTTTTAGAATGGTTGTGAATGCATTGCTATGCAGTTGTTAATTTGTTTAGAGTTATTAAGGGGTCGTTTACACGACGCCGTTTTCAGGCAAAAACGGGAAACTTTAAGCGTTTCGCCTGTACGTTTACACGACAATGGCGTTTTGGGGACTGAAAACCCATATTTTCGAAAATGGGTTTCAAAGTGGAAGTTTCTGAAAACGGCACCTTGTCGTTTCCGTGTAAACACCCAAAACGAGAATCTTTGAAAACGGTGACGTCATGCATGTGCGTAGTACGTGTTAGGTATGTAGGCATGCACAGTACGTGTCGATTTTAAAGGCAAGCGCGAACAAACATACACAACAATGGCGGGGTACATGGTACTGTTGTTGCTGCTCAAGAGTTTGCTAACGCTTCTTCAGCAAAGCGTACAACCAACAGCGGAGACGCATCATATACAACATATAATCGTCACTTCCCTACAGGTACTGTTTACTAACAAGGTGACAGCGCCAACTACTGGCCTGGCATACGTAATACAGCATTTTTGGCCGTTTTTGTGGATATGTGCAAACGTGAATCGTTTTGAAAACGTTGTCGTGTATACGTGAACCTTTTTTAAAAAACGCAAGAAAAACTTTTCCGTTTTGGACTACACCGTTGTCATGTAAACATAGCCTAAGACAATGGTAGGTGTAAATAAGAAACAATGATCAAGGACTCTAGAAATGAATTGGGTTTCTATTGTCATTTTCATCTGGCAAACAATTCCATTTCCATTCTGTTATTTACTTAGTCATTTCCATTTTATTAGAATATGCTAAACATATTTGCATCATGTTTGTCTGTTTAAATGCATGCCAGCTTCCGTGGATATTTCCATAATCAAAACCATACTGGAGTTGTTAAAACTTAAAATAGAAACTAAATTAGATATTAAAGACCAATTTTTCCTAAACACTCTAAAGCTAAATTTGTACTCACTTGATTAAAAACTCTTAACACTTTATTAGTTCTCACTATTAACTAGTTGTTAATTAGCATGCATATTACTAGCTTATTGGCTGTTTATTAGTACATATAAAGCACATATTAATGCATTATTTTGCATGACCATATTCTAGATCCCTTAATAATCCACGCCATACCTAATAGTAACAACTACCTTAACAACGATTAATAATAGGGATGTGCAATTAATCGATTAGTTCTCACTATTAACTAGTTGTTAATTAGCATGCATATTACTAGCTTATTGGCTGTTTATTAGTACATATAAAGCACATATTAATGCATTATTTTGCATGACCATATTCTAGATCCCTTAATAATCCACGCCATACCTAATAGTAACAACTACCTTAACAACGATTAATAATAGGGCTGTGCAATTAATCGATTTTCATGCGCATCTCGTCAGTAAAGCCGGTTCTGTGATTAGTAGTAAATCTCCATCACATGCTTTCAGTTGAGCGGCATTTACTACACAGAGCCGTAGCTCACAGACAAGCTCCGAATTTATTTTTTATTTTTTAAAACGTGTTCATAATCACAGACAAATCGAACGTGATGTTGCATAGCTTGTCTGTGTATTAAATGCCGCTCCATCTGAAAGCATGTGATGGAGATTTACTACTAATCACAGAACCGGCTTTACTGACGAGATGCGCATGAAAATCACTTGCGATTAATTGCACAGCCCTAATTAATAAGCAGCAAATTAGGAGTTTATGGCAGCAAAAGTCATTGTTTAACAGTGAGAATTTGTCCCCAAACTAAAATGTGACCTAAAAACCTTTACAAGGGCATCAACAGAAAAAGGAACTCAGAGAAGAATCTCATGTTTGCATTATAAAACACAGGTGCTCACCAGTGCAGAGAAAGCCCAGACGTTCTTATTGAACAGGAACTCCAGGTTATTGCGCCGCAAGTAAGCCAGACTGCCGATGAACGCCAGCAGCAATCCCAGCATCAGCGGCCCGGCGTAGTTCGGAGGCCTGATCACCCGGATCTGAACGACAGGCGACAGCATGTTAAAGCCTGATGTGAGCGTTCAGCTCAGATTCTGGATGTGTCTGCACTAGTCTCACATGCACGTCTGTTCGGTCCGCCACCCATCGAGCCAGCTGTTCGGCCGCAAAGCCTCGGACCTGCAGCTCGTATGTGTCCGCTGGCTTCGGTTTGCCTTTGGCCGGGAAGTTGATGAATGTCGGAGCCGAGTTCATGTTGAGCTGTGGAGGACATACGCAGAATGAAACAAGTATTGAGTAATTACTAGACTTAATGCAACAACTTGACATTACATAATTATTGCAGACTATTTAATAATTTTATTGGCTCCTTTCAGATGTGCATATGACCAGTGTTGGGGAAAGTTACGTTTAAAAGTAATGCAATCAGTTACTTTTGTTAGGGAGTAACGCAATATTGAAAATGTGAAACGAGTAAAGGTCACAGCTCAGACAAACCTCTCAGCTGTGCTGCCACTCTGGATTGGAATAAGACGCAGGAGAAGAAAGTTCAACACTCTTACTTTAACAATGAAACACAAATGTTGAATTGATCTAAAACTCATTTTTGTTTATTAGCATGTTTGAATTGGATCACTGAAGGTCGGCAGCAAATAAATTGGTTAGTAAAATGGGATTAAATGAATAAAGATATTTGTGTTTTTTAACATTTCATTATTGCAGGTTTGTATTTGACAGTTTTTATTCATTTTGAGGAATACTGAATCTGGTTCTTTGCAGTGAGATGAGTAAATACATGTTCATATTTAGTCTAGAACTTAATTTTCACACACAGCTCTTCTGCACTTACTCCTGCTTTCTCTCAACAGGAGAGCCGTTAGTCAATAAATGGGAAAACAAAGTAACTGCCGTTACTTATTTGAAAAAAGTATCTCAGATATGTTTCTTGTAAATTAAAAAGTAATGCATTACTTTACTAGTTACTTGGGAAAAAGTAATCAGATTACATAACTCATGTTACTTGTGATGCGTTACCCTCAACAATGCATATGAATATCTAATCAACTTCAACTGGATAAAACTCTAAAAGTCCTGCTCCCAATTTATTTTTTTTTAATTTATCTTTTTCATTGACTATATTGTTTTACTTTGAGTTATAATCACATTATGGAAGTAAAAAGGGTTGCAAATATTGTTTCATGTTCACATTTGTTTTAATTTGTACATAAAACAACATTTGCAACCCTAAAATATAACATATTTCGAGTAGTTACCATCTGGAAAACATCTGAGCCTTCATCAAAATCCACCATTGCAAAGAAAATCCTGTTAGTGAATGCACTCGAATAACGCCAAGAGTTCGCAAGGATCTGGTACTCTTCATCTGCCTGCCTGAAAATAAAAGTAAAAAAAAACAGAAAAAAATGACTTTTTCCACATAAAACATGTTTTATATGTTGGGGCTGTTAACACAATTCATTCAGTGCAGAAATGACGACTCATTTAGTTTTCCCAAAGACTCTCCTCATCTGCCACTGACGGAAAAAACTGAATTCCATCCCAAAGTTACTAGTCAAGTCAATGTCTCGGTCTCAAAAGCCAGATTTTATGTGCAGTTATAGTCTCGTGGGGTTCCAACGGCCGCAACATGTGCATCCACTTCAACTCCAAATTATCGTACGGTGTCATTTTTGGTTTGTAAAGCGTGTTTGCGAGCTTATAGTCAGCACTTGTCCTCGATAAACACTTCTGCTGAGCCGCTCTGAGGTGACTCCACACACAGCAGACTCCTTCGGCTTTGACGTCCTGATCGTGAAAACAGCATTATATCACGAGAGTGTGCACCACGATTTGGGACAGAGCCAATGTTGATGGTTGAGACATTCAAACAAACAGAGCAGTGTTTGATTACACTCCTCATGGAAATGACCCAATGAATGGATTGTGGTAATTTTGGATAATTTTACGATTTGATAAATATAAAGGCGACTGGCCACTCCAAGATATCAGCCAAGATAACAGCAACTGAAAACTTACTGATCATCAGTTTTTTATATTGTAAGTTGCACAACAGCAGTGCTGATTTTGTATTATGTTTAAGTATTTATTAATATTGAATTAGCTTTTTTATATTTATCAGTTTCAATTTTATTATCAGTATACGTTTACCTCTGCACTATGTCTGTCCTGTGTGAATCCAAGAATTTGTCTAAGTTTTATGTATTTATTTATTAATCAGCATCAAGGCTATTTTCATGGCGATCGCTGAATAAATTATACAAGGTATACAATTAACAAACGGTTATAAAAGACATTTCAGATGTACTCTAGACAAAAATTCTAAAAACATGCAGGTGATACATTTTTAAATAAACCAGTAAGACACACCTCTGAATAAAACCGTTGTCTATTTACATTAAAAACAGTACAAGCCAATAACATATGTTTCACAGTCATTTTAGTTTGGCAAGTAAGGCATGATGGCAGTTCCTCACCTTTTAATAAATATCCAGGTGTAAATCTTGTATGGCCTAAAAGACACCTTATAAAAACAACTTGGTCATACCTAGCTTTAAAATTAGTACAGACACACACAGACACACACACACAGAGACACACACAGAGACAGACACACAGACAGAGACAGACACACAGACAGAGACAGAGACACAGACAGAGACAGAGACACAGACAGAGACACAGAGACAGAGACACACACAGAGACAGAGACACACACACACAGAGACAGAGACACACAGAGACCAGAGACACACAGAGACCAGAGACACACAGAGACCAGAGACAGACGCACACACAGAGAGACAGACACACACACACACACAGAGAGACAGACACAGACACAGACACAGAGAGACAGACACAGAGACAGAGACACAGACACAGAGACAGAGAGACAGAGACAGAGAGACAGACACAGAGAGACAGACACAGAGACAGAGACACAGACACAGAGACAGAGAGACAGACACAGAGAGACAGACATTAATCACTGCTTCAGTCTCTATGTGCTAAGCTCACGTTTTCCTTTATATTATAAGCACACTAACACAAAATCAGGTTTATTAAGTTAGTAATTAATTCAGGAGCAGTGAGGTCAGCTGTACAGCAGCAAGCTTAGCTTAGTTAGTGTGTCAGCTCATAATACAGAGAAAAACCCAAATCAGTCATTCATTTCAAGTGGTTTATAGATGAAACACAGTGTTTAAACACATAATACGCCCTTTAATCCCTTGTGGTTTCGAGACGGAGCGAAGCTACGAGAAGCAGAAGACGACTCGAGCAGCCAGCTCAGTGTATATGAGGGAGGAAAACACTCAATAAAGACCCACTGACCTCCTTCTTCTTCTGTCCATCTGACGGCGTGCCGTATAAACTAACAGCGAGGAAAGCAACTATCAAGAGTTTATTAAGCATTTCTGAAGCCGCCACTGCGCCCACGACAGTCCTGAATGAACTCCTGTCCGCGTCCTATTGGTGGAGCTGCTTCTTCTTCTTCTTCTTCTTCTTCGAGCTTATTGGAGGTTCGCATTCTTAAGAGAGCATTACCGCCATCTACTGTGGTAATGGATCAGAGACACTCCCCAGACCGTTCAGGGATGCGGAAGAGGAAGTGTCTGGGGAACAATTCTAAAATAAAAGTCTCAAGCGACAAAACAAGTGTTTTCAGAAAAAAAGCCTCATGCTGCCTCAGCCTCATTATTTATATATATAAATAAATCTCAAACAGATTTTTCTTCAACAGGGTTTGCTGGTATGATTGCTGAGAAAAGTACATGCACCCCGAAAAAAAACCCCCATAGACAAATAAATATACTAAGCAAATAAAGAAATTAGGAGCATGCCTGTGGGAATAAATTAAATGTGACCCTGCAGCACAAAAGCAGTGTTGAGTCGCTGGGGGATATTTGTAGCAATAGCCAACAATACATTGTATGGGTCAGAATTATACATTTCTCTTTTATGCCAAAAATCATTAGGATATTAAGTAAAGATCATGTTCCATGAAGATATTTTGTAAATTTCCTACCGTAAATATATCAAAACTTAATGTTTGATTAGTAATATGCATTGCTAAGAACTTCATTTGAACAACTTTAAAGATGATTTTATCAATATTCTGATGTTTTTGCACCCTCAGATTCCAGATTTTCTAATAGTTGTATCTCAGCTAAATATTGTCCTATCCTAACAAACCATACATCAATGGAAAGCTTAGCTATATATTCAGCTTCAGTGACCCTCGTGGTTTTGTGGTGCAGGTTCACACGTGTATTTCATTTCTTTGTAAACTCTATCTTCCTAAAGATGATTATCACTTTCTGGTGGTAGCAAAGTGTGTAAAATAGTGTCTTTAATTATTTCCTGCTGCATGCGCAGAACGATCCACCAACATGTTTAATGTTTTATTAAATATGATAATTTACATGCAGTTAATGCTCGCGGATACAACTCAATCAACAGACACAATTGAAATATGAAAACAAAGCCTATCATCTCGTCATTTCTCAAAAGTATTATTTATAAAATTAAAATTGTTGGCTTCAATAGTTTAAAAATGAATGAAATGGAGATATTAAATTTGAGTGCTAAATATCCGGTGAGTGTGAGTGTGTGTGTGTGTGAGTGCTAAACATCCGGTGAGTGCGAGTGTGTGAGTGCTAAACATCCGGTGAGTGTGTGTGTGTGTGTGAGTGTGAGTGCTAAACATCCGGTGAGTGTGTGTGTGTGTGTGTGTGAGTGTGTGTGTGTGTGTGTGAGTGTGTGTGTGTGTGTGTGAGTGTGTGTGTGTGCTAAACATCCGGTGAGTGAGTGTGTGTGTGTGTGTGTGAGTGTGTGTGTGTGCTAAACATCCGGTGAGTGAGTGTGTGTGTGTGTGTGTGAGTGTGTGTGTGTGCTAAACATCCGGTGAGTGAGTGTGTGTGTGTGTGTGTGAGTGTGTGTGTGTGCTAAACATCCGGTGAGTGAGTGTGTGTGTGTGTGTGTGAGTGTGTGTGTGTGCTAAACATCCGGTGAGTGAGTGTGTGTGTGTGTGTGTGAGTGTGTGTGTGTGCTAAACATCCGGTGAGTGAGTGTGTGTGTGTGTGTGTGAGTGTGTGTGTGTGCTAAACATCCGGTGAGTGAGTGTGTGTGTGTGTGTGTGAGTGTGTGTGTGTGCTAAACATCCGGTGAGTGAGTGTGTGTGTGTGTGTGTGAGTGTGTGTGTGTGCTAAACATCCGGTGAGTGAGTGTGTGTGTGTGTGTGTGAGTGTGTGTGTGTGCTAAACATCCGGTGAGTGAGTGTGTGTGTGTGTGTGTGAGTGTGTGTGTGTGCTAAACATCCGGTGAGTGAGTGTGTGTGTGTGTGTGTGAGTGTGTGTGTGTGCTAAACATCCGGTGAGTGAGTGTGTGTGTGTGTGTGTGAGTGTGTGTGTGTGCTAAACATCCGGTGAGTGAGTGTGTGTGTGTGTGTGTGAGTGTGTGTGTGTGCTAAACATCCGGTGAGTGAGTGTGTGTGTGTGTGTGTGAGTGTGTGTGTGTGCTAAACATCCGGTGAGTGAGTGTGTGTGTGTGTGTGTGAGTGTGTGTGTGTGCTAAACATCCGGTGAGTGAGTGTGTGTGTGTGTGTGTGAGTGTGTGTGTGTGCTAAACATCCGGTGAGTGAGTGTGTGTGTGTGTGCTAAACATCCGGTGAGTGTGAGTGCTAAACATCCGGTGAGTGTGAGTGTGAGTGTGTGTGTGTGTGCTAAACATCCGGTGTGTGTGAGTGTGTGTGTGTGTGCTAAACATCCGGTGAGTGAGTGTGTGTGGAGGAAGATGGCGGCGCTGATCCTCCCGTCTGACTGGATAAAAAACTGGGACAAATCCGGGAAAAATGAGTTGTGAGTAAGAGTTTGGTAATCAGATGGGAAGTGGGGATGGAAATAAACTCATATCTGTTTTATTTGGGCGGTTTCTCCGCGGGTGATTGTTCTCCTCATTGTGAATGTCCACAGCTAACGTTAGTGCGCGTTAAACACTCATTACTCAAAGGTCAATGAAATAGCCAACACATCTACATGTACTACTAACCAAATAAAGAATATAAAGTCTGTAGTTTCTGTACATGGTTGTGTAAGACACTTTATCGAGTACTTCACTCGTTTTCATGAATGTAGTGTCAGTGTGCTAATAGTTAGCAGGGTTAGCATGTGTCTACTTATCAGTGTGTGTGTGTGTGTTACACAGTATTTAGTGTGTGTTTCATGCTGGTTAATAAGATCTCATGCACCCTGAGCTGGGCTGAAGTCAGTATTATGGGGTGTTAGGAGGTTGTGTGTAAGTGTGAGGTGTAGATGTAACGTTAGCTATGCTAAAGAGTCGCTGTTTATAAGCGCCCCGTCAGATGAGATATCGATTGAGTCTGAAACGTAGTGGTGTGCCCTACCTAGAGAGCATCTGTGAACAGTACGGTCTCGGAGCCTACTATTGCCTGCTAGCGAGCTGCCCACTGAGACTGCGGTGTAGTGAGCACAGTGTCAATGAGAGCCGCTTATGTAGACAGCATTGTGAGCCGTGTGTAAGTGTGAGGTGTAGATGTAACGTTAGCTATGCTAAAGAGTCGCTGTTTATAAGCGCCCCGTCAGATGAGATATCGATTGAGTCTGAAACGTAGTGGTGTGCCCTACCTAGAGAGCATCTGTGAACAGTACGGTCTCGGAGCCTACTGCGCGGCCTAACTATTGCCTGCTAGCGAGCTGCCCACTGAGACTGCGGTGTAGTGAGCACAGTGTCAATGAGAGCCGCTTATGTAGACAGCATTGTGAGCTTCTGTGATGAAGAGGCACGCCAGCGCATGCTAAACCCAGTGAGACCTCACGTGCAGTGCTGTCTTGTTAGGCAGCTTACTAGGATTTGAGCACTGCCTGCTTGATGTTTACATGCACCTGTCTTCTGCAGGTAGTTTGACCCATGTGGGTGTTTTGGGCGGCACTTGTTTGCAGTAAATTCAGCTGGTAGTGAATTGTTAATAACCTGTAGCATAAGGAGTGTGTTAAAGGGGTCATATGATGTTGCTAAAAAGAACATTATTTTGTGTATTTGGTGTAATGAAATGTGTTTATGCGGTTTAAGGTTAAAAAAACACATTATTTTCCACATACTGTACATTATTGTTTCTCCTCTATGCCCCGCCTTTCTGAAACGCGTCGATTGTTACAAAGCTCATCGGTCTGAAAAGCGAGGTGTGCTGTGATTGGCCAGCTATCCAGTGCGTTGATGTAGTTTCACTTTCACAACGAAGCACACAGCGCCTTCACGACATGGCGGCGGCAACAATAAGGCGGCGCCTTCTTTCTTTGCGTGAACATTTGTGCGGCGTTATGCAAATCTTCCCACATAGTGATGTAGATATGTGGGGGCGTGTTAGAACGAGGCGTTTTAGGTAGGCGTGGCTGACTCTTAACTTTTATAAAGAATATCTCTTTGGATTTGAGACTTTAGTCTTTGCAACTTTACAGATCTTCTTTATGCACCAAGAGCTTGTAACACTCCAAAGAGAAAGGAACAATTGAAATCACATCATATGACCCCTTTAAATGTGTTCAGCGTCACACAGAGGTGATTGTGGTGTTGGATTAGACTGCAGTGGTGTGATACAAACAAGCTTTACATGTGTAGCACGCTATACATGTTTGATCTGTTATGCCCAGAAACTACCTCGTTCACTGTTAATCCAGTGCAAATGCATTTTTTTGATTATGTGCTTGATATTTTGATTAATAACTGAAATTCTCTTCCTAGCCGTTCACTTATTTGCCTTTTCTGTTTCCAGTTTCCAGTTTTTCCAGGGCCTTGCAGGGAAACCCAGCAGTCATGAGCTTGTTAAAGGTGAGTTCAATAATTCATAATTGTTAGTCTTTGGGCTTATGAAATTAAAACTCTGGGCCGAAACCGAAAATTCTGGATGCACTTGGCCGAAAACCGAAACTGAAAATGCTTCGTAATGATTATTTATTATTTTATTAAATAATACAAAATAATATTGCAAGACTTTTTAATTTAACTCAATTTTAATGATACTTAAAAACACACAACATGCTTTTTACTGAAAGTAACACAATACAATTGGACAGAGTTTATATTAATATTAGTAACACATTGCAATAAGGTTCATTAGTTAACTACTTTAGTTAACATGAACGAATAAACAATACTTCGGCATTTATTAATCTTAGTTAATATTAAATTCAACTTTTACTATTGAATCAACAGTTGTGCGTGTTAGCAGTTCATGCACTCTGAATTAACATGAACTAACAGTGAACAGCTGCGTTCTCATTAGCTAACATTAAGAAAGATTAATAAATACTGTAATGTGGTGTTCATGTTAGTTAATAGTAACACTAACTAATGGAACCTTATTGTAAAGTGTTACCTTAATATTAAATATCAATATATTATTTTTACTCAGTTCCTTCCATGCAACAGAATCAGATATAGTTTTTTTTTTTTAATTAATTAAACGAATTATCCAAATCATGTATAACCCTACGCAGCTGTTATTATCAGAGCATGTGAGCAGAGCGTCACGAGAGAGTAGTCATTTTTACCAGCGTTGCTTATTTGTTTATTTTTGTCCTGCTGACAAAATTGCAAGAAATGTGTTTTTAAATTTGTTTTTTTGGATTATACTGTAACTGTATTATAACGGTACACTTCATAAACAGTCACTGGGAATTGATTTATCGTTATCGATTCAAACTGATGATACTATGATGAGTCGTTCTTGCAATTTGAACAAAACCTATTGCAGCCGTCTAGATAACATAACCGTGCTGACCGTTTTAATCGACTGAATTCACAACAACAATGCGCTACTAGAAAATAAAAAATTACAAGCATATGAATAACAGTCAAAAGAATTCAAGCATTGGCCCCATAGTGCAAGGGGCAGCTCTGTCAACCCTCTCTCACAGGTCCCGGGCCGTCCTTATTGGTAAGCCCTAGTGTTTCTCTTGACAGGATTGTGGTGAGCAGCTCTGTTTAATATTGTGCAAGTGATATCAGCATGCCTGTAGACGCTAAAGCTGTTATTGAGTCTGCTGTGTGTGTGTGTGTGTGTTTTGTAGATCTGCAGACAGCCCTGTATGAGCTCTGCTGGCATGCTATCCAGGGCAATCTGAAGGTGGATGTGGCTGTCAGTCTCCTGGCTGATGTTATGGTGAGTGCTGATCCCGTCTCCTAACATTCAACCCCTGCCCACCTGCACTGAGACTGTTAGGATTGACTGTCTGTGTCACACATGATGTGAGGGGAAAAATACAAGTAAACAAACATTCACTGTTCTCTGTGTTATTTGTTTTACTGACATGTAGGGTTGGGAACCGAGAACCGGTTCTTATTCAGAAAAGAACCGTAACCGTGAGCTATTTCTACGAGACGCAACCAAGCGCTGTGAGCAGCCTTACGCCGGCATTTCCCGTAAAGGATGTCACAAACGAAATAACAGAAACGCCGCCCTGCCTCTTTAATTACTGAGCACATTGCTTCCCATGACGCGCACTCCACAGACGTGCCGTGTCTTTAGCTGCCGAACACATAGTTTTCCATGAGTGTACGCACACTTGCGTTTTTGATAACTGTGCATGTTGTTTTGTCTCACTGTACACGTACTGGCAGCGCGCAGCTCCTGCCGCCACTAAATTACATTATATTTGTCCCATATTGTCATTAATATACATACTGACTTCAACTAGGACCACTAAATAAATAGACTTCTATTGTTATGTAAGTATGAGGGTTCGATAATTTATTGTACAGGTCATTTCAAGAGTGATAAACAAAGTGATAGAAATCATGCATTTTAAATGTTTAAAAATGTGGAAACCACTCATTGCATCACACCATCTTCTGACTGCATTATTATGTGTACACATGGTTATAGTATATCAGTTAATATGTCATTAATTTAGGGAAGTGAAGAAGTGCCTTAGCCCTCAAGGAACTATTTGGCCAACCAGCTTATTCCTGCTTGAAAAGCAAAATGTTATTGA